AGGGTCAAAATTTTACCATTGCCACAGATACAGTGTTACTACTACTGAAGACACAGACAGTTTTGGGACGCTCACTGCCTGGGCTTGTCAGCTATTGGTGAGGCAGATGTGTTAGCAGAGGAGATAAACTGTAAATGATTTTCAGGAAACAYTGCAAGGCTTGTATTTGACTCTATGCTACTGCGTGGTTTCAATACAGCGAGACTTTTCTGCAGCCCCTTCTTACAACCTTTCCTCTTGGTAGTTACAATTCCAGTCAGGACTCCCATGTTTCTTAGAAACAAACATGGATGAGTTTATATCATGAACATTTGTTCACTGAAACATTGTTAAAGATCCAGCTTAAACCTCTAACAGTGAGGAATATTTTAACCAAGCAAGACAGTTTCTCAGCACAGTAGGGATTTTCTTCCCACATGGTCTGTTACTGTCGCTGCTATGTTTCTGTGCATACTCTTTTTATCAAGCAACACCATGGCTGKATCATCTCACTTGTGGTATTTCAGAAGATCCTGGCTCTGAAAATCATCATGTTGTGCTATTCCCTACATTTATTTTTGTTCTGTTGCTTCAGAGGGAAAAAAAATTACCAGTATCTCTCCTTCTTTGGCTTCTGTGAAGGGAAAAAACAGACTTTTGTGGCAGTGAGACACCTTAGTCTTGCTGCCAGAACAGGGYCTGTAAAAGGTTTGCACCCAGTGTTTTCCCCTTCCTCAACTGCTCAGTCCAGATGAYAAAAACTCAAATTATAAATTTCTCATACTATAGATCCCAGATGCCAGAAAGAAGAGTCTGCARACATTTTGAACATTTGAACTGAACATTTTCCTATTTTAAAAATACTCATTATGTTTTACCTGCCTAGGCCAGTAATTTGTAAGTTTGTTTACAGGTTTACCTTTACCACGCTCAGACATTTTTTAAGATAATGCTGATGTGTTGTTCTTCCATCGGCAGCATTCTTCACATCTTGTTAAACACAGTCCCAAGAATTGGGGGTCTGGCCCATCACGTGAGATCAGGAGCTACAAAGCTGCTGGAGTTACAGGGGGACAAAGGAAAATGGAAATCTGCTGGCATTGAAAACATGCAGTGTGTGGGGGAGCACGTGCTTGGGGTGAGGGGGTTTTAGAGAAGCAGCTGGAGAAGTGAAAGCTGGTGTTTGAGCTGAACACAGGTCCTGGCTTTCGGGGAAGGGTGTCATTCAGGGGGTGTCCTTTGGGGAACGGGATCCAAATGCACGATGCCCTGAGCACTGCATTGACACACTGGAGAGCTCACAGCCTGCAACGAGCTTCCCCAGACAATTCTCTGCTTTCACAAACTGCATTTCTTCTGCCCTCCAGCTAAAGGAAATAGAAACTAAAGGAGCRTAATGGACTGCAAAGGAACCACTGAAGATGATTCCCGTAGCTTCTCACACAGTCTCCTTTGGACTAACAGAGTGTTTTACAGCTTTTGGTGCACTTGTGCTCAGGTAATAACCTGCAAAGTCAATATTGTTCTATTTTTACTGCTGAAATAGAGAAATTAAGTTGCTGGCCCCAGTTCAGAGAGGAGATCTGTGCATTTCAGTGGCTTCCCACTTGAAAAGTATTTTCTGGGGCACAGCTACAGCAGCACCTGTGGCATCATCACTGAGGTATCTGGACCTAAGGCAGCYTTTGTAGAAACTGTTAATAAAAGATGAGGTCAGTCTTAGATGTGAATAAATCTTCTGTATAGTAAAGCCATTAGAACTAGCAAGAAGTGTTCCMAAATGCAGTTTTTGTAACATTTTAAATACTGATGTCAGTTGCTGCCATAAATCAACTGCAGTATAGAGCTGTGAATTTCTGTAGACAGCAAATTTGTATAATCTAGAAACAAATATATTACTGCCTGAAGTTATAAATGTTTTATGTACGTTTCTTTCATAATCCTAGTTATCTATAAAAAAAGTGTTTGGTTGTGGGGTTCTTTTTGGGACACAGCTTGTGAAAATACAACTACTTCTTGTAAAATGAAACTTTATTCTAAAATGTATCCAAAATTGCAAGACACAAGCACCATTAAACAGATAAATAGACATATATTTATGTACAGAGAGCATCAAAACACAAAACAATTGTTAATATAATTCTTATACCATTTTAATGAGTATCCATCAATAAAACTTTACAATTTAAAGGAGACTTTTCAGTTGCAAAACAGTTGTAAAATCATATGTATAAATTATGTTTACTACAATTCCAATAACAGAGGCAAAGTAAAATACAAAAATAATAATCAATACTGCAAATTCAAATACAAACCCCAAAAGTAATGCTGCACAGGTACGTATGTACACTGGATGAATTCATGCAGCCAGGCAGTGCAACAAATTAACTGCTGAGTTTAACTTATCACAAAATGGAACCACCATGTCGGCAAACAGAAGAAAATATACTTTTGTAATAAATCATAGTGCATTTTGAAGTTAGACTTTATAAAATGATTGTTGAGTGATATACTTCTAATATTCCCCATGTGATCTGAGATCCCCCCAACTCCTTTTTTCACAAAATAAAATACAAATGACAAAAGCTAAAAACCCCACTGTAGAACAGAGTCTGATGTACTGGTACCATCTGAATGTATTTGTTTTAATTCTTGGTATCAGACTTGTTTGCAAGTGTCCATGTCCACAGGGACACACGTTTTTCCTTGCTACCAGAAGTARATCTTTCACGCTCCAATGCTGTCTCCATAAACTGCATCTCACACGATGCTTAGACTGCACTGGTTTGAAGAGACACAGCTGAGCCTTGAAAAAAGAACCCTTAAATCCCTATG